CATCTCTGGGTTAAACAATCTTTGGAGACACAGTCTCATACAAGTCCTCGAGAGACAAATTCCTCGCATACCCTATGGCATTCTCTTTCCCACCAAGTCTGCAACTCTCCCGGGCGCAACAGGAAATTGGTTTTATTTATAAGAATCACAATCCTAAACTGACCCTTGCTGGGTGACCCACCCTATTCCCTCTCTCACGTTGCTCCCCTCCCCAGACACATCCTCCCTCCAAAGACTGCTCAGTGACCACAGAGCAGCTAGCATGGAACAGCGCTTGGAAAATCACATGGAGAACACTAACCCAGCGTTCTGGATGGGGAGACGGAGGCCTGGAGAGCTCGAGGGTTTGACCAAAGACATGGAGCACTCGGGTCTCCGGCTTCCTGCACTGCTGCTTTCTGCACTGTGCATGGCTGCTCTCCTTCTAGACCGAACAGGCCATCCTGGCTTGGTTTGGGGAAAGACTCCCTCCCCTGAAGGACAGAAGCCTTTAGAGAAACATTTCCCATCATTATAGGGATTTGGAAGAAAATGGGCACAACTTCCTCCGCTTTGAAGCTCCTTGGCCCCTCCTGGCCCTGTAACTGTGCTGAAACCAGTCCAGTTCCCAGATCGCCTACCCCTTCAGGAGGGGAGGGTACCAAAGCAGAACCCCCACAGATGGGCCTCTCTGCACCAACAGTGACCTCTCAGTCTCTCTGTCTGAGACCACTAAATCGCCATGGCATCCAGGGCCCCCACACAAAGAGCTTCACAGTCAGCCCTGAGCTCAGGGTCAAGTACAATGAGCAAACCCTGAGCTCAGGGCTGACTCTAAAGCATCACGATTCAGATGTTTTTAAACAGCATTCTTATACCTTTTAAAGCCTCCAATAGCTGAAAGTAAATGACATTTGATTTCTGCAGGTGTTACAAAATTTGGTGGACACATCCTATGAGTACAAGGAGGTATCCATTTCATTCCACATTTGTTATTTTTTCCAGGTGAGGAACATGGTTATGTAATTACAGTCTGCACTCCATAGCACCCTCTGATTCAACCAACCAAGGTTCAAAAATACTTGGGGAAAAATATGTTTTGTTGCCTACAGTACTACATAGCTAGCCTTACAATGGCTTCATCTGTATTAAATGTGTACAGACACTTTTTCTTGTCATTATTCCTTAAACACCACAGGGCAATGACTATTTCTACTGTATTAGATATTCCAAGTAATCTGGAATGATGAAAAGTAAACTGCAGGTTGTGTATAGGTTATATGCAAATACACCATTTTGTATGAGGGCTTGAGCATCTTTGAGGATTCTGAAACCAATCTTCCTTGGATATCAAGGGACAACTACACTTCTTTTCTGTTTGGGCATTTCATTTCTTAAAGGAAATACGGTTCTCAAATGTGGCTATTAGGATCCCTTGCAGAACCTTCAAAACTACAATGCCCAAGCCACACTCCTAAACAAATCAGAATGTCGGGTGAGGCCTCTGCATCCATATCCTCAACCCTCATCTGTATTTAGAAACCCCTGGAGGAGTCCATGTGCAGCTAAGATTAAAAACCACTACCTTGGGTAGAACCTCAATAAGGGAAAAACTTAAGCTGGTAGGCATGAAAAAAGATGGTTCTGAAGGTGGAGTGAAGGTTATCAATCTGCCCTTCTCCCTTAGTTTTTCCTTCTTGGACCTTCCCTGACCATAGATTTCTGAAGCTCCAGGCAAAGCCTTCAAGCATTTTTGCCTGGCTGACTCTTCAGTTCCTCTCCACCTCCAGTACCCCAGAGCAAAAGGGGGAAGCAGGGGATCAGACTCAGAAACTAGAGAACACAGAAAAAGAGGGATTGCATTATCAACCAATTACACTGATCCAAAGTGAAGTCTGAATATTTCAACCAGGCCTGTTTGGATCCAAGTGTGATGCAACTTCAGGAAGCTTCAGCACGATGTTCCAAGTGCAATCCACAGATAGTAGGTCAGTCACACTTGGCCCTGGACCCACTCACCAGCTGGGAGAGCAATAGGAACTAGAATCTCTGACCACATGAGGCAAGTTCAGCCAATGGACTCATGTACAGGAATACAGGATGCTCTTAGGAGAGCCATAAACATGTAAACACCCAAGGATGGGAACCTTTTCAAGGCACCCTGTCGGAAGTGATACCACATCCGGGACATCTGTAAGGGTCAAACTGCTTATACAGCACCAAGAGATTCATATACAAGACACAGCAACTGTGTCATCACTTTTTATGGCAACTCTCATAAAAGCCCTATCCCTCTAGAAAGAGAACTCACATACTACACACCCCTTATTTTGCTTGGGAAGGGTCTGGAAGTTTTTCTGGATGAGACATAGGGTGACAGTCCAATGACACGTTCGCTCTCTTTACATCCTATAGGACAATGGGAAGTCAGCCCAGGGCCAGAAAATGTAAAGGACAGCCTAATTTTGGAGAATGTATAAAGGGTAACAAGCAGGCTGGGGAATATGGAAAAACCATTCCTCCTATAGCAATTACTTCCTTTTTTTTTTTTTTTTTGGTACTGGGGATCCAGCTCGGGACCTTGCGCTTTCGAGGTAGGCACTGGAACCACTGAGCTAAATCCCCGGTCCATAGCAATTACTTCCTAAGATTTACAAAATAGAGAAAACCTCTGAGAATCTGAACACAGTCGTGGGTGTTCTACCTTTCTGGAAGAAAGAGATCTCAAAATTGGGAATTTAAAAACATAGGAGGCATTATCGTAAGAATTGTGCTTTATAATTTTTTACATAGGTTGAGAGACAAAATAAACCTTGCTTTTCCACTTAACTTTATTGTTTAAACCATTATACCTAGCTAGTCTGTACCATTCAATTTCACATCTAAAAAACTAAAAAGCTCCCCATCTCTGACAAGCCAAAGACCACTGATTCCAGTCAAGTGGCACCAATTCATCAGAGATCCTTCCTTTCCCACAGATTTCATTTTGCAGTTTCTACTCAATGAGTTTTCAGAGCACAACTCATCAGCTTCTCAAAAGCATAGGGGAATTCTACATCCCTGGGGAATGGGTGGGGGGGGCATCCTCAAATTCCTAATTAAAATGTACAGCAACAAGACTAGGAGGATGAGACTTGAAATAAAAAACTTTTTCCTTGTGAGTCAAACAGTGGAAAATGAGTTGGATTAGCCTCTGTAATCCAGATAATTCTCGAGTTTATCCTTTTATCTCTGTGTGCCTGATTTACTGCAAAATAATGAGGCAGATACATGTGTTTCCCAAAACAAACACAATTCCTTTAGTTGGCGAGAAACTCTTAACTGATCCTCTCTGAGGGTGGGAGGATTTTCAGCTCCAGAGGACAGAAAGGTAAACCAATAAGTTTTACTGGCCAAAGACAGAAACTACTAACAGAAAAATCTTCTGATAATAAGTAGGTATTAGGCGTTTGAACCATGCATGGTGGCACATGCCTGTGAGCCCAGCACACAGAGAAGCTGGAGGATTGCCATGAGTTCTAGGCTAGCCAGGGCTACATAATGAGTTCAAAGCCAGTCTGAACTAAAGAACCTAGCAAGATCCTGTCTTTTTAAAAAATGCATTTGAAAAGACCCCCAGGTGTTATCATTTGCTAATTTCAGAAAGTAGTTTGCAACTAGGCCCCTCAGTCTGCGGCTAACAACCTCAGCTTCACAGTTCTGGGAGCTGAAAGGACCTTAAAGGCCAATGCTGCCTGTCAGCACAAGGTCTGAATTCCCTGAGAGGGCTCCTGTCAAGAGTGGAGGGGCCCAACACTGCCATTTTGGAGGAGAGAGAGTACGGCCACTTGGTGATCCCAGCAGAATCAGCATAAAAACCCCACCCAGTTAGAAATATGAGAGGCTCCAGGGAGGCATCATAGAAAGAAATCAAAGGTTGCCAATTAATCAAACCCTGCTGCCCACCTCCCCACTTCAGCCAGCACCTGCTGCTGGCCGAGGCTCTGCCTTCACAGGTGAAGCCCTAGCTAGGATTTGGCTCCTCAGCCCTGACCAGTAAACCAAACGACCCAGGTGAGAAAAAAAAAAAAAAAGCCAAAAGAAACCACCGTTCAGGGAACTAAAGCCGGTCCCAGAAGGTCCTTTCAACCCTAGAGGTACTGATTCCTTGAGAATCTGATCTTTCTCCCTTATTATTCCCCTCTCCCAAGGGAAAGCACACATAGAAGCAGTGTTTCCTCACAATTTTGGCCAGGCCAGCCCAAGACGGCACAAGAGGTTTTTCCAAAGGAAAGGCGGGATTGGGACGCCCGTGGTGTCCAGCTTAAAGGGCAGCTCTCTGAATGCCTTTTTAAAAAGAGGCTTACTAGACACCGTGCCCCAGACTCCGAAAACGGGTGCTATCCGGGCACCGGGCCGGCCCGCCCACCGGGGTTTGGCCAGGACAAGACTCGGCCAGCTGCGCACTGGGCTGAGCCTGCGCTCCACCTGCTGGGCACCCCACCCAGCCTCCGACCCCCACACCCCACCCGGCTCGGGGGTGCGGAAGCGGAGAGGGCTAGGGAGAAACGCTCACCCAAGCTGCCGGACGTCGGGAGGGGCGACCCGGGCGGGATGCAGCACAGAGCCACCCCACCAGCCTTGGCTCTTTCGGGGGTCTGCGCGAAGCCCACCACCCTGGCTGTCCGCGAGCGAGCGGACCCAACTTGTCGCTCCCTACTCAGGGCCTCCCGGGCTGGAGACAGCTTTTTCTCCGCAGGAGATTAAGAGCGGCGGGGGGCCGGGCGCTCACCCTCTGCCCTACAGGTGGAAAGCCTCGCGCGACCCTCACTCAGGGACGCGAAGATCAAAGGCCTGGGCCGCGGCCAGCACCTCGGAGCCCAACTGCCCAGCCACGCTGTCGCGGGCGCGTCCTCTGGGATCCAGGTCCCGGGTGGGGGGCAGCCGGCTCCGTGCGCTCCAGCCCCGGGACCAGCCCGTCCCCCCTCCCCGCGCAGAAGCGGGCGGGGCCGTGGGTCGCGGGGTGCCCGCCGCGCCCTCACCTTTGTACCGCTCCATCGGGGCCTCGCCTGCGCTCCCGCCGCTCCGCTCGCCCTGCGCCGCGCCCTCCGCGCTCTGCTCCGCGCCGCCCGCCGCGCTGGCCCCTCCCCGTGAGGTCACGCTCGCGGCCGGCCCTCCCGGGCCACCCCGCGCCCGGCCCTCCCGGGCCACCCCGCGCCCGGCCCTCGGACCCGGTCCGCCCCCTCCGGGGGACTCCGCGGCCCGTCGGCGCGGACGTCGGCGCTGCAGTCCCGGCGCACCCGGGACTCGGCAGCTCACCGCGGCCGCCTCGCTCTGCCTTCAGGTCCGGGCCCCGAGGGCGGCGGGAGGGAACGGGGCCGAGCAGTTTCCAAACCCTGGGGGCGGCCCGCAGGGGAGCTGGCGCCGGTGCGCCCGTGAGCTCGGTTCGCCCAACCGCGGGGCCGAAAGCCCACTGCCGGGAGGAGGAGACTGAGGTCCGAGGCCCGACGTGGAGGCGAGCGGAGAGCGCCTCCTGCTTGACCCCCATGCCTGCGGGCTGCCGTCCTTGGGCTCCCTCAACGCGCGCCTTAAGGGCTGGGGTGGGGCAGCGGAGTCCTCGCCTGCGCCTGCTCTGGGTCCTCTGCGGATGGCTCCCACCCGCCTGGGTCGGCTTTGGGCGGCTGCTGATCGAACGCACACAAGTCAGGACTTGCTGCCTTCCACCTGCTCCCGGGTTTCTGGGGCCCAGGCCCTTCTGAGAAGGGCTGAAAACGTCTAGGGCCACCTCATCCAATCTGAGAGCACCTGGCCGCCCTGGAGAGGTGGCCCCGATTCCATAAAGTTCAGACCTACCCTGATTCTGCCCTGTGGGCCCCCACCGAGCGGCAGACTTCCAGCCTTGACCTCTCCTGCCTTTTACCAATCAGATCCTCATCTGATCTGCCCCTCACAGAGATCCATATTTTGCTTTAAAATGTTTGGGTTTTCACTTTTTAAAAAATGGTTTGTGCTGTGTACCTGGTTTCTGGACACAATTTCCATCTTCCTAGAAAAAAACATACTTAAGGAAGATTTGTTGTTTTCTTAGAGACTTCCTAATTCTTTCGTGGGACAGCAGCTTTAGCTCTGACGCTTGGAGACCTGCCCTGGCAGTCTGCAGAAATACTTTTCTTAGTCACAAGCAGCTAACACGGATGTAGCCCTCTCAGGCAGTTAGGTGGTGTGCTGAGGGCTCACACACCCTGCCTTTAATTTTCCCAGTAACCCTGTGAAGTGGGTATTACTGTTATCCCTATGGTACAGTTGGAGAAATGGAGGCCAAAAGAGGTAAAAGATTCGCCCATGTGATACAGCTGGAACAGAGCAGAGCAGGCATTATATCCAGGGCTGTCTGCTTCCAGGTGTGCATTCGCCACACTTTCTCGGTGCCCATGGGAAGTGCCCGGCCACTTGTTACCATCTCTCAGAGCACACAGACAGGTGGGTCCTCTGATAAGAGGGAAGCACAAAGGTGCTGGGAAGACAGGTGAGCCAGCCTGGAGAAGCCTAGGGACTCTAGGAAGAGGTGCTGGCCTGGGTGAGTTAGAGCTGGGGAGGTGACAGGAGAGGTGGCATGAGCGCAGGCTTCCAGGCAGAAAGGAGCAGAGCAGGGACGGAGGCTGGGAGGTAAAGCACTTCGAGGCCAGCCAGTTCTGTTCCTGAAGCCAAAAGGCAGAAACCAGGTGTGAAGGAGGAGAGGCTGGAGAGGCAGGCACGAGACTGCTGAGCTGGGAGCGGCGGGGAGTGGGCAGCACCGGAGAGGGTGGGACACTAGGGATCCCCAGGAATCCCTCCAAGGTGGAATACAGAAGGCCCGGGGAGAAGTCGGAGCAGTGGGATGCAAGATGGGAAAGAGAAAGCTGAGCACAGGGTGTGAGGGAGGGGGAAGAGCTGCTGAGGTTGACCTGGCATTTTCAGCAATGGACAGTGTCACCCACTGAGTCGCCGGGGCTCTCTTCCGTGCCAGGTGTCACCAGGTATGGCAGAGAAAGCGTGAAGTGCACAAAGGTCCTGCTGCCGTGGGGCTGCTGTGAATGAAGCCCAATGAAGAGACGAGCGGCCCCGAGTCAGAAGTGACAGCAGGTTCGGGGGACAAGTGCAGGGCCCGTGGCACCTCCAGGGAGGGAGAGCTCTCGGGGTTATCCACATAGGACAGGCACTCTTCCGGGGAGGCCTGGCTGGGGACAGTTGTTACAACCAAAGAACACAGAGGTTGTGGCAAGAAGGCCGATGTCTCAGGGAACTGGGGTCCGGAACTGTGCCGTACGCTGCTGCAGGTTGGACCTGGACCATGGCGAACACAGCTGCTCTTGCCCTTTCGCGTTTTCTCTCTTCCTTCTGTTCTTCCTTTCCTCAGGGGGCAAGGGGCCAGCATGAACCCGCCCGGTGCCACTTCCTAGTCTACAGCATCTGGAGACTGTTACCAGGGGCCCCAGTTTCCTCTCAAATTCTCACGAAGAATCTGGCTGTGCAGCTCAAATCTTGGAGAGAATTCTCAAGTCTCTGGTCACCCGTGGCCATACGCCAGCTCTGGGCCTAGCAGAGCAAGGTCACAAGGTCTGGTCCCCACCCAGAGGGGCCTGGGCCCTCCCATGAGGGGATGAGGGCAGCCTAGTGCTAAGAGCCGAAGGTTAGCGTCTCCACTCTACAAATGAGGACACAAAAAAGTTAGGGGACTCGCCCAGAGTCTCAAAGTTAAGCTATCTCTCTTTCAGAGTGAGGACTCAAAAAATAAAAATTTGAGTTTCCTGATTCCAAATCCTGTGGTATATCAGCCCCCCTTGGTTCCGGCTTTCCCACGGCTGTCACTTGACAGGCCTGTCCCTCAGTAAGTCCTCCAGTAGTCATTGCCTTAACCCCTTCTTGAAACCACAGCCCATGCCTGCAGCCAGGGGCAGCTCCTTGGTATCTCTCCTGCCTGTCTCATCCCTCTTTCCCCCACCAGCTCCAGCCTCTTTAATTACTTCTTCCCCCAATCCTTTCTAGACAAACAAAAACCAATCAGAAATGTACACAGAGTGAATTTAAAACTGAAAGCCATCACTCTTTTCAAGAATAAAACTGAAACAACACTATTTAAAACCAGTAGGCCTTGCATGGTGGTGCATACCTTTATAATCCTAGCTACTTGGAAGGCTGAGGCAAGACTGGAAGTTCCAGGCCAGCTTGGGCATCTTAGCAAGAGCCCATCTCAAAATCAAATTAAAGGGGTGGAGGTGTGTGACTCAGCAGTAGAGTGCCCAGCAGGTACAAGGCCATAGATTCAATCCCGAGTACTGTGAGAAAAAATCAGCAGGAATTTTAGGTCCGTTAGTTTAACACTGCTTCCCACCTCTTCCCCAGCACAGCACAGTGTCACCCCTGACTTTGGTGGCTTTACAACTTCTACCAAAGGGTCACTCACATTCAAATTCAAATTCAGAATCAGGTGATCTGGTTTTCAATTTGTTCTCAACACTCTACTATGGAGCCCACCCCAGACAGACCCCCATCAGAAATGAGCTCTTCTGATGCAGACAGGCCTCAAGCCAAACTGGAGTCTAGGTTTGGGGGTTCCCACCAAACTCAGCTGGGGGCTAATGGTACCCCAGGCTCTCTGGGTGTGTTAATGAATTTGTCCTAAGCAAGAGAGCTGAAGGCCAGAAAGACCTGTTGTTTGGTACAGTACTCCTTTATCTGCAGGGGATTGGGTCTCAAGACACCCCGTGAGTCCCTGAAACCATGGACAGTACCAAACCCTATATAAGCACTGTGATCCACAGCATTACATCAGGTGATCAAGCCAGCTACCAAGTGATCTCTGGGTAACAGGAAGGTAGCATATACATCGTGGATACACTGGACAAAGGGCACACATCCTGGGTGGGACACAGTGGGATAGCACAAGGTTTCATCACACTACTCTGGGTGGCATGAAATTAAACCTTATGAGTTACTTATTTCTGGAGTTTTCCATCTTATATTTTTTAAGCTATGGTTGACTGGGGGATACTGCAAAAAGTGAAACTTCAGATAAGGGGGTACTGCAGTAATTCCTAAACCAGTTCCCACCAGCAGAGATGTTTCTTCAAACACAAGGGGGCTTCTGCAGCTGAGCAGATGAGGACTGGGTGCTGTCTACCCCTACTCATTCTTTTACCTCCAGCTCCAAGCCACCCCTCTGAGGGATGTCCTCTCCCCAGTCATCCTCACCCCCACTTGGCACAGTCCTGACCTCTGGCTCTTCTGGCAGGCTGCCCTCCTCCCAGGATAGCCCTCCCAATTGTATTGCCTTAATCCCTGTCACTGTGTTGCTATGGCACCCGGCACACAGTAGGTGGCCAATCATAGTGTTGAATGAATAAGTAATTGACTATTCCATGTTTATTCTCTTGGGGTTTCTGTGAAAAGAAAAAATAAAAATTATAAATGTTTTATAGCTGAATGAGCTGGTTTAACTGAATGAGGTAATTTATAAGGAACAATGGCAGGTCTGGCTGGGCATGGGGTGGGGTGAGCAGGAGGAAGGGCTACTCGGACCCCCTCCCTTTCCTTCTGAGGTCATGAATCCCACAGACAGCTAAGCGGCTCTTAGGTAATAAGAGTCTCCACCTCCCAGGGCGCTGGGGCTGGGGAGCAAAAGGACAAATCCCCCAGGATTAGGCATCCTTCTCCTGTCTCTCTTTTTTTTTTTTTTTAGTTCTTCTATTGGTACATTTTAGGTATACAATTCGTTTACATTTATCATTGGGTGTTTGTACCTGTACATGATGTGTCTTGGTTCTTATTTTTTCCCCATTACTTGTGCGCCCTTCACCCCCTCTACCTTTCCCTATTTACACAGATTTCATTTCCTTTTTTTTTTTCTTTTCTCATAGTTTTTCCTTTCCCTCTTTTCCTTTCCCCTTCCCCTCCCTTCACTCCTTCGTCTTTGGACCTTTTTTCCTATTTCAAATTATCAGTTATTCATTTTAATCATTTTAACCCTTGTTTACACTATCAGTTTCTCACACTAGTGAAACTATTCGGTATTTACACATGTGTGTCCTATTTATTTCACTTAAGAGTATGGCCTTGATATGCATCCATTTAGCTATAAATGACTCTAGGTTTTCAGTCTTTATGGCTGAGTAGTACTCCATTTTATAAAAAACCCACATTTTCTTTATCCAGTTTCCAGTTGATGGGCACTTGGGCTGCTTCCAAGGTTTAGCTATTACAAACTGTGCCGCTATGAACATGGGTGCACATATAGCTCTGTGGTATGATTCTTTTAATTCTTTGGGGAAGATACCCAGAAGGGGAATAGCTGGGTCAATTGAACCTACAATATGGGAAAAAATTTTTAGCAGCTGTACCTCAGACAAAGGACTACTATCTAGAATATATAAAGAACTTAAAAAAATCAGACCCCCCAAATTCAAAGACCCAATTCAAAAATGGGCATCTGAAATGAACAGACATTTCTCAGACAAAGAAGTAAAAGCAGCAAACAAATATATGAAAAAGCATTCAGCATCACTGGTCATTCGAGAGATGCAGATGAAAACAACACTGAGATTCCACCTCACCCCAGAAAGAATGGCTGCTATCAAGAAATCAACCAATAACAAATGCTGACGGGGCTGTGGGGAGAAAGGAACCCTTCTCCATTGCTGGTGGGAGTGCAGACTGTTGCAAGCACTGTGGAAATCAGTATGGAGACACCTCAAAGAACCAGGACTGGAGGACCCATTTGACCCTGTCTCTTCTTTTACTGTGTCCCTTCTGTCTTTGCCTAGCACTTATCCCTGCCCAACCCCCAGGACCTTTGCCTCCTGTCCCCTGCTGTGATTTCCAATCCACAGGTACAGAATATTTCAGGGTTGTTTGGAGACTTGGAACCAAAGGTGAATCCAACCAGGTAATCGGATGTTACCTGGAATCCAGAGCTGCATGCCTCAGAGCCCTGATGCAGTATCCCAGCAAGCATGTTTCTCCACCAGCCTCTCCTCAGAGCCAGGCCATCCTTTTTCAAGAGGGATGAAGGGGTGGATATGCTCCTCACATCAACTGCTCATCGTGAGCAGTTGCCAGGGTCTCCATGTGGGATTCATTTCCTTGATTTTTTCCCCTGACTTAGGAGGCCAAGGCAGAAAAGCAGGCAGACAGGAACTGGCAGCTCCACAGGTTCCCCAGAGCCCCCGACATGGGGACCTGAGAGGAACCCTTCCTTCATGCCTGGCAGCTGCAAGTGCTTCCTCATCAGCACAGCCTGTGCCCTCTGGCACACTCTTCCTCATCTGGGCACAGTCCCAGAGCCAAGCCAAGTGCCTGCCTCCTCCTCATGTCTTCCAACAACTGCTTGAAGGAATGAAGGATGGAAAAGTAACACTTAGTCAAGATTCATTTCTCTTCTAATGACAGAACAAACATAAAGACCATCTTGTTAGGTCACAGACCTCTAAGTAGTCTGTAGGAGTGTGTGTGCAGAAACTCCCTATAGGCCCCTGGGTAGCCAGTGGGGCTGGCAAAGCTCTGGTGGTTGGGTTTATGGTCAGCTGTTGGCCCACAGACCTGCCACAAGCCTGCAGCCTTCACACTGACTCACGCGCTTCTCTGTAGTGGGGCTTCCCTGAGTGCCCACTGCCAGCCAGCTCAGCTCACTGAGGCCTCTCGGGGCTGCCTGAGGGACACGCCGGGCCGAAAGAGCTCAGCTCTTGTCCTATCCCCTTTGGTGCGGTTGCGCTCCTGGGTTTTAGAAACCACCCTCCTGGTCTGTGGGCCCGGCTCCTGCTTCTTCTAGCTTTTAGGTGGGCTCCTTCTGGACTCCTTTTCCCATAGTTGGACTGTGATGGGGTGAAATTTTAAATCACCTGTTCTCTAAAGGCTTCAATAAGAGTAAAGGGTAGAAATAGGGGAAGACACTTATGTATCCGTTGCTCCAAAAACAAGATTTGACTAGTGTTCAATAAAAAGAAGATCGGCATGAGGAGGCTTCCCAAGCAGCCCCGTGGCCGAAGGGAGCAGAGCAGAGGGTGCCTTGTGCCTGTCTGACCCCATCCCAAGATGCTGCTGTGCCTGTGTGCTGCCTGCTGCTCACCCCCGCTGCCTGTGGACTCCCAGCATGTGCATGTTTTTCAAGTACCACTGAAGACAGCACCTCTCATTTTCAAGGCTGGTAACGTGCTGAGAGCTGGAATGACTTTCCAGAGCCACAAGGGCAGATCATGGCAGAGTCAGGGGTGCACGCCAGGGCTGCTGCCTCCCACCTTCCACACTGAGGGGAAACCACGGTCCTACCCCTCCCTGGTGGGAAATGCTGCGAAATCTGCCCAGGGCCCCCACTTTGTTCTTCTCAAGGGCAGCCTTTCTAGAGCCCCAGACACTAGGCTCCTCACCATCACCAAAGTCCAGACTTACGAGTACCGACAAATCATTCGTGAATGAATGAACCAGCCATTCCTGTTGGAAGTGCGTGTGCCCCCAAGGGCATAATATTAGGATCTTGGAGGAGGGTGAAAAGAAATCTTACATTATATAGACATTATATAAACGTGTGTATATATAGAGAGTATATAAATAGATTTACAGTATATTTGTGGCATTAAAATTTATGGGAGAACAATTGCAACAAATGTCGAAAAGGCTCCTGAGAGGAGGCAATAAATGGGGAAAAGTTGAGAAACACTGCATTACACACTCTGAGTTTAGATTAGAATCTTCCCTCTGCCTCTTTCCAGCAGAATCTAACCTTTTGGTGCCTCCGTTTCCCCATCAATCAAATGGGAATAAAATTAACTCTCCTCAGAGGGTGTTGCAAGCATTACATGAGACAGTACATGCTGCGTTTGGCTCAGTGTCTGATGCATAAGTTTCACAGCAGACATTAGATGCAATAATTAAGATTGCTGAGGCAAGCAAATCCTCCACCAATAGTAAGAACCACAGGCCTCCCGTGGCAGAGCAAACAGGCTACCAGCTGTTTCAGCTGCAATCACCCTATTGGCAAGAGTCCTACTAGGTGCCATGTACTGGAAATCATTAGTGCCACACAGTCACCCAGCTGCCATCCATCTACCCACCACTGTGTACCCTCCTGTTAGCTCAGTATGGAGCCAGGTGTTGTGTTGGGTAATAAATTGCATAAAGCCCTGAAGGGATTTATGGTTTCAAAGGGGAGACAAGAAACAGTCTACTGTCAATGCTTCTCAAACTTCAGCTTGTGTAGGAATCACACAGGAACATGTTAAAACATAGTAGGTCTGGGGCTGGACAGAGCCTCTGTGCTTCCAACAAGCTACCAGGTGATAGTGCCACACAGTTTGAGGAGCAGTCCTTCCTCCCACAGCCAGTCAACCCGAGGAAATGTTGTTTTCCTCTCTCTGCTCATGTTCTGGCTGCACGTTACTTTGACTTCTTATGGGGCCCATAATACATTGTCTACAAAATTTCATGCTGAAAAATTCTGGAACAAAATCTTCAAGGAGCATTCATCCTGCAACCTGGAGTCATAACTAGTCTCAGAGTACAGTGAACACTGCATTCTCAGGAGCTTGCTTCTGTTATATTTATTTTTCTTTCATGATCAAAATCCTTGTGGGGAAAGAAAGGAAAGGAGAAAGAGACAGAGAGGAATCACTGTAATGCAGCTTCCTAACTTCCGGCTGGAAACAGTCTCAGGTACCCAGTTTCTTCTGGCAAAACAACTGAGAGAATACAAATAGCAGTCTTTCACAGAGGAACCCCTAGCAGGACAGGACATTTGAAACCAGGCCACTATACTTGCACAGTGTCCAGGGATCCTGCTTTGTTGCTTCAGTAGAATCTTTGGTCTAATTCAAATAACATTTATGGAAGATCTCAAAGCAGAGGGGTTGGGGGAGGGGAGTCCAGGGCTAAGAACCAGTAAGTCCCAGACGGCAAGAAACACTCGTCATTTTTCATTAATGCATTTGTGGAGCAGTTTGCTTTACACAAGAAGAGAAGCCTGTTGGCCTGTAAAGACATGGCAACTTGAAAATTCAGATGCCTAAGTCACAAGTGTGTTCCTCTGTGGAACTGCTCTTGGATCTGCCCCTGGATTCATATCCTATCTCACACAACTATTGTGGCTTCAAACAGCTGGAAAGTGGTGATCTGTTAGGATCTGTGGTCTAAACTCAGCACAGTGGTGCATACCTGGGGAACTTATTGATTTACTGACAGGATACTGGGATCAATTCCCAGTATTGGGGGAAAAACATTTGTTGTCTAGTCATCAAGTGGGCCTCTTCCCAGGTGGGGTGTAAAAGCAGGGCAGTTTTATTTGGGTTTCTGAGAGAGTCTCGCTTTGTAGTTCAGACCGGCCTTGAACTTGTGGCGATCTTCTTGCCTCAGCCTCTTGACTGCTGGGGTTACAGGTGTGCACCACCACACTGCTGGCAGAGTGAGACAGTCTGGAGAAGCGATGAGGAAGGCTTTCCT